TATTATTCACTTTTGTATATTCACTTTCTCCCTGTCTCCTATACTACTTTTTGTTTTCAGACCATTGGCTATCCCTTTACCTTGTGGCTATTCACCTACACCATGGTTGCTTTCTTGAATGTTTTAAAGAAGACTATTTAGGTGAAAATTAGGCCAACTACTCTTTCTTTTGAAATATTCCCTGATCATATTATGATATTGCATCAATAAAATATAATAATTGCCATTTAGAGCTGTGTTTTTAGAGATAGCTCATTGATATTTTATCTCCTCGTTTTATTTTCCCTGTACTGCTTGTTAAGGTCATTCACGTAATGTTCAGTGTTGGTTAGGGGGACAATGTTTGGTATTGGCTAATAAAATAGTAACCCAGGCAACACAGTGACCACTTGTCTCCAACTGTATACACTGACTGCAAGTAAAAAGACATTTTATTATGACAATTTGTATTTGGTACAAATGTTGGAAACATGGCTAAAAACAAAAGTAAGTTTCCTCAGTCTTTCTTTTATTTTATCAAAGTTTATAATGTTAGAAAATGCACGATTATGTTGTTTATTCTGATATTGTTTTACAAAATTACGTAGTTTAACCTCACAAATACAAATAGTTTGGATTAATGTTAGTTTTCATTATGTAATATAAAAATATTTAAAAAAACAATAGTTTATAAATGCTTTCTATATTCTGCAGTTATTTTATTGTATTATTAAGAAAAATAGTTTTAGTTAAAAAATAATAGAATTGGGACTTTTTCTGATTTACGATCTGTTTCGATTGTAAAGAATTTTGTGTGGGGTCAGCTGAGCTGTTTCTATTACTTATTTACTACACAGAACTTCTGTATAAGATATATTTGTAATTGTTTCTTCCAACATTGTGCACCCTGTTTCCTGGAGTGTTCCTTTGGCTGTTAGGTGAGAAGTATGAGATCCTTGTTATTATGGCAGTCGTGTTAGTTTTTACACATTGATTTGAAATTGGACGAAAACACTTTTGGTGCAGAACCACTTATTTTTCAGTTCACGGTCAAGATGTGCAATGAACCATAAATGTCAAGTTTTTTTATTTTTTACTCGTGATCATACAAACTATTTATGTGTGAAGACTTTACATGTGTTTATAGTTTTATATTATTTATCTTCAGTTCACACATTTTGAAGCTATCTTTCAAATACTGAAATCCTCACAGAAACCTATGTACAACATCAGTTAGCTGTGCTAAAGTTTCAGTTTTTAATAACTGATTTTACACAGTTTATGAAATACAGATGAGTGGTTTGTTTTTTGGTTCATAGAATGTTTACTATATTATAGAAGTTTTATTAGTACAAATATTAGTAAGAAACCCAACAAGTGGTTTTATAAAACAAGTCATTACATAGTTAAGAATATTCCTGCATTTTGAAATCAGTTGTAAATAAATCTTGGGAATTTTATGTTTTATGTAATTGTAATTATTTGTTATTTGCCAAATTTCTTCAGTCCCCAAGAAGTGCATGTTTTGAGAATTCTTGACAGTTTATCCTTTTTTTCATTTATCTATAATCGTGTTGGTTTCCAGTGGTATACTACTAAATAGACCAGTGTTACCATATGTTGGAGAATGAAATATGCCAGACTCATTGAAAAATTATGCTAAAAATAATGATGTTGTTCCAAATAACTTGTGAAAATATGCTAGAATTATGCTATTTTTCAACCATTTCTTATTGTTTTACTGTTCTTATATGTTCAAATAAAACAAACATTTAATCTACAAGATTCACATTTATTCCAATCCAAGATGTGCCTGAAAGTCAAATCTTGTACAAACAAAAATATACAAGATCAATCAAGTTTTGGAGCCACAAGAGGAGAGAGTAAAAACATAAGCCAAATTCAAGCACTTGGTATCACAAGTGTTTGAAAATATGAAAACACTTAAAAAATTTAATATGACCACATGTTAGCATGATTAAAGTAACACTTTGAGTGACATATCTTTGTTTTCAACATAGCAACAGATGGCTCAAAATTTACACACACTCCTCTCAGTTTGATCTCTTCTTCATTCATTAACTCATTCATCAAGAGTGATTAGTGAGTCTGTTGAATTTCTCAGATTTTTTAAAGTTTACCAAGGAAAATATGTGTTCACAGTCAGCATTTGATATACAAACACTGAGCAAGGCCTTGGTAAATTTTGAGAGAGTGGAATACTTTCCACTCACATGAATTTGATACCAAAATGATTCAGTGTTGATATCTTGAGAAATATAATTATCAACATCGTCACTCAGTAACAATGAATGCCACTCATTGTCAAGCTGTTCCTCCTTTCTAATTATTGTAGAAACCTAGGAAGAAAATTCAGCAATATATACATTTTGTTGCATTTGACAAGTTCTGTGGGATCAGGAATGGATCAGAGAGCAGACAGGGTTGAATCATTAAGGGGTAGACGCTTGTGCAACTGTGTAGTCAACTCCATCAAAAATTGATAGTCAGTATTGTGACAAGGAGTTCAGAAAATTTGATTACTTTGTACTTACAACACATTTCAATGAATTATACTAAATTTATTCCAATTGGGGGCAAAATATTCCAGAATTACGCTAAAATATCAGTAACGCTGAAAATAATGTTAACTGGAAAAATTATCTATAAATTATGCTAAAAGCATAATATTAAACTTGATCTGGTAACACTGAAGTAGACAATGTAGCTATAACTTGGCTCAGGTTACTTGAAACAACTGTGTGAAGAATGGAATATTTCCAATTAGAACTTGGTTGTAGAGGTGATAGCTTTCCCATAGTATGTCAAATGAAACCTGATATCACAAATCACAGTAATCTCACTATGCAGACCAAGTTGGAATTTTTACATATGTAATTGTATATATAATATAAAAAATTGGTAATTTTTATTGCACGATAACTCTAAATTTTGCGAGTGGCATGCATGAACACTGCTAAGAAGGAACTATCAATGTATGCTTGGTTTTCTTTATGGTAACCTAACAAACTGTGTTGCATGATGGCTTACCAGGCTTTACCTTTCATGTGCTTTATGTATTTTATGCTAACTTTCTTCACTTGAACCATTTTGAATATATATTAGAAAGTCCATCTCAAAATATTGGATTATCTGCTGAACTAAACATCAGAAAATAATTCGAGTTTTTATTTTAGCTTCATTTATTTTTAGTATACTCTACTAAGAATATAAATTCAGTTCAAACACCATAAATTTATCCTTATTATATAATATCTAATTTTCATGGGAGATAATACAGATCATATTGTTATGAAATCAAGAATACTAAATATTACATTGATTATTGAATATTAACATAAATTTAATATTGAAAATTTGCCAATTTAAAAATTCTTGGGAAATTGAAAATAATTTAAAGAATGTTGTATGTACTTCAAGTACTATAGTGAAAGAAAGATTTGTACATGGGTTGAGAGAGACTTCATTTTGATTTAAAGCATAGAGTTAACAATTAAAAAATTATTCACAAAGTTGTATCATGTGTCATATCTATTTGTGAATAAAGTGACAACTTGTGCTTTGATAAATATGTAACAAAACAGAGCTTTTATGTGGCTTTCATATCTCGGCTATGGATGCCTGTATTTTCAACTATATTAAGAATTTACTTGAGTAGTTGAAATGAAATTAGCCTTTCTTGAAGGCTAATTTTTTTTCCAATTTAGTATCAGTGTAAGTGAGACATATGCACGTCTTTTACATTATCCACTATCATTGTTCTATCAGTACAATTCTAATGTGTCTATAAGAACGGAAAAAGATTTGCCACGGCAAAACATAACCCAAGAGTTGGTGGTGAGTACTTTTTACCAGCTGCCTTCCCTCTAGTCTATCGGTTAAATTTGATATAGACAGTTCAAATAGCCCTTGAGTATCTGTGCATGAATATCTAAAAAATAAAACCCTTTATGTACTTGCAAATTACATTCCCTAATCTGTTAATTGTGATATGACTGCAGATCAAATTCAGTTAATTTCGGAAGTAAATTATTATGTTATGGAAAATTCAACTTCATGACATTATAAAAATATCTTTCTTCATAGTGATAAATAATTGCGTTACTAATATATTCATACACCGTATATAATGTTAACTTATTTCCAAGTACTAAATACAGTTAATAAACTTGTATTTGAAAAGAGGTTTTATCAACATATTAAACTTTGGATCACTTGATTAAGGTCATATATTAATTTAAATTGTGCATTCTTTGTTTTCTAGAACATATTCTTACATAGACAACTAACTGACACATAGTAGATTATTTTCATGTGATAAGTTATGAATAGTAAACCAAAAAATAATGGAACTTTGAAAAATAATTAATGTTTAAGTTAAGTTTAAATAAATTAGTAGTAGTTTCTTTAAAACAATCTGTAGAAAAATGTTTATACTTAGAACTTTATGTTAACAATAAAGTAATAAGACTAAAATCCATTTAAAATCAAAGTAATTTAGTATATTTAATGAATTTGATAAAACAAGTGCAAGTGTAAATTATTCTACTGCATTATGCTGATAGTTGTTGTACCCATTCAAAAAATCCTTAGTCATAGTCTTCCTTACTATTTCAAATTTTACACAAACTGAAAAGGAATGTGTGTGGTTTACCATGAAAAGGTCTGCTAATGTACCTATTATAGGATTGCACATTGTACATTTGATACAAATTTTCAAAGAAGTCCCAGTATTTTCACATGGATAAATTTTCTGTTAAATATTAATAATGTTTTTGCTTTTGTAAAAATCACCAATGGCTGTTTTAACACTGATATTTGTTTAAATTGTGACTTTTTGTTTTGTAAATTCCAGTTCTTGTTTCAGATTGTTTCCAGGGTGCTGATTTTATAACTTGGGTGTAATACTTAAGCTATATTTTCTTAAATTATAACAATGTGGTATGATTTAAGCATATAAAGGTAATTCAAAGCTAATAAGATCTTTAATTATTTTTCAGCATTTGGTGCTCAATTAGCAGCAATGAAACAGCAGATTAGGTAAGCTTATTGAAAATATTCACATACTTTAAAAGATAAGCACGTTTCAATAATGAAAACTGATATGATGAGTTTAGAATTTATCTTACTTAGTGTGGTGTAGATTATTCAGCAACTGTGTACCATTTTCTCAATAACAAACCTATATGTATATATATAATATTCAAATGTCTGTCTGTCACACCCTGTATCTCCTGAACAGTTAATCATAGAAAAATCTAAATTGTATATCAAAATTCTTCTTTTCAACAGCACATTGTAGAAAATATATTCATTTTTTTGCAATTCCTAAATTTTCATATCGATATCACCATTAGTCTGTCAGTCTTTTTATTCACTGTACAATCAATCTGAGAAAAAAAACGTATTAAAAACAAAACTGTTTCTTTCTCCATCGACTGATTTAAAGAAATGTCTTGAGGATAGGAGCATGTATGGAAAATGCACAAAGAAATGAACATATTTGAGTATATATTTGTTGTTTGGTTTATATATATATATATATTCTCTCTCTCTCTCTCCCTTCCTTCTATATTGTATTATATACATGTATGACTTATTGTACTATGACAAGGAACAGTTGCATCTGACAGTTAAAATCCCTGTTGCTATGTAGTGAACCTTTTGTGTTGACTGCACCTATTGCATTGAAACCAAAACATTTCTTCCAAAAGTGCTTTGTGGTCTAGTTTTTTTTTGCTTAAAAAGATACATTGTAATGTTCCTTATTGAAATAACACATGGAATGTAAAAATTTGGTTATAAACATCCCACCAGATATTCATATTACATACACTCTGGTCCATTTTTATTATTCATCACTATTTTTAGGAAATTTACCATTTAATTGTTTCAACAGGATTCTGTTAGTATACAAATTTCACACTTGAGATGAACTGAAAATATAAGCATCAAGAAAACACAGAACTACACACTGAGTGTTCCTCTTTCAGTACCATTAAGACTAATAACTGCAGCCTGTACCAAGTTTGCATATCTCATTATTGCAAGTTAAATTCATTATCTCCTGGTAAAATTGTTCTTGTATATATATATATAT